GATTGTAGTAACAGTGTGGGAGCTAGTGAGAAGTACTCAAACCAAATTTCAGCTCAACACTGAAGCTGGAACCAGTATAACAAGTTATACAGTGGGATACACAATGTAGAAATTGCATTTAGCTACTAGGAACAAAAATACACTTAAGGTATATATTTTTCCCATCCAAGTTGACAAGAAGGGAGGGAGAGAGGGATGAAGGGAGGGAATTCCTTTCATACATGGAAATGAAGAACATTGCTATGACTGGAGATGATAGGAAGAGCAATTTGTTTAAGCAAATCTATTCAAATAACCCTGATTTTTCATTAGTACCCATTACCAAGTCACTCTCATCAATCCTAGTCCAAATCCCTTGTCTTTCTTTTTCTTTTTTTTCCTTTTTGGGTCACACCCAGCGATGCACAGGGGCTACTCCTGGCTCTGCACTCAGGAATTACCCATGGCGATGCTCAGGGGACTATATGGGATGCTGGGAATCGAACCCAGGTTGGCCACATGCAAGGCAAACACCCTACCCGCTGTGCTATTACTCCAGCCCCCCCCCAATCCCTAAGAGGATAGGGGAAATGTCATAGAAGAACTTAAAAGTTAAATTAGAATATATACAACTTGTATAATAAAAATCATTTTTTAAACGTGAAAAAATGTTGTTTAAAAAATGTCATCAAGTAATTGACAAATGCTGCAGACTATAGTTTGCTTCAAAAAGGAAGCAAACTTCCAAATACTTGTATTCTAAGATATTTAAATTTACATATTTTGATTTTTTTCTAAGAATATCTTAAAGGGTGTTTTTCATTTAGTATACATGTTTGTTTTTCACATTTGTTATGAATCAATTTTTTTGTTAGGAAGTAGCTTTTCCCCACATCAATAATTGGTATATATATATTATATATACACACATATTGGTATGTGTACTCTATGTGCACTGTAGCACTGTCCTCCCATTGTTCATTGTTGTTCATTGATTTGCTTGAGTGGACCCAGTAACGTCTCCATTGTGAGACTTGTTGTTACTGTGTCTGACATATTGAATATGTCACGGGTAGCTTGCCAGGCTTTACCTTGCAGGTGGGATACTCTGAGAGGGGTGGAGGAATCAAACTCGGGTCAGCCGGGCTGGCCGCATGCAAGGCAAGCACCCTACTGCTGTGCTATCGCTCCAGCCCATACACACATACATTTTATATATATATTATATATATATACACACACACATATACACACACATATATATGCACACACACACACATATATATAAAACATACATATGAACTAGTACATCTTGTTACCAAAATACAAACTTCGTTTTGTTTTGGTTGTGGGGCAACACCCAGTAGTGTGTAGGGCTTCCTTCTAGCTCTCTGCTCAGGAATAACTCCTGGTGAGGCTTGATGCCAAAGATTAAACCCAACCACTTGAATGAAAAGTGCCCTGCCCACTGCACTGATTCTCCAGCACTGAAGTCTTCATCTTCTATGCCATATTTATTTAACTATTAAATTTTAATAAATTTAAATTAAATTTATTTAACTAGAAATGCCATATTTTACCAGTAAGGGCCTAGAGGGTTAATTTATGACATTCCCCTATCCTCTCAGGTTTGTGTCTGGGTCTGTGAATTAAAATTATAAAAGACAGATTAGTAGGAGCGACACATACCAGTTATGTTTGATATTATTGTTACTACATATACATGAAGATTACGTGAGAAGCCAATTTATTTGAGAATTCATGTACCATTTTAGGGAGAAATTAAGACAGTTAATTTAAATATGGCATCTTCTATGTCATATTTAACTATAAAATTTTATTTTTTGCTTTATTTTGGGGGAGGTCACACCCAGCGATGCACAGAGGTTACTCCTGGCTCTTCACTCAGGAATTACTCCTGGTGGTGCTTGGGGGACCATATGGGATGCTGGGAATCGAACCCGGGTCTGCTGTGTGTAGGGCAAATGCCCTACCCGCTGTGCTATCACTCCAGCCCCATAACTATTAAATTTTAATAAATTAAAAATAAATTTATTTAACTAGAAGTGCCATATTTATTTCATTAGTAAGGGCCTAGAGGGTATTTGGGGGTTTCAAGATTCTATTTTGAATAAAGAATCAAAGGCATCTCAGAAACTGTAACTTATATATGAAATAGCCTTGCAAGAGATTGAAGAATTTACTAATATTATAAAAAGTACTGATAGATTGAAATAAAACTTCCACTTTAATAATCACACAAATGTTTACATTTATTAAAAACTGTAACAGGACAATTTGTGCATATCACATTCATATTACTATTCATGTACAAACAATTACACATAACCATTATACCAAGATAACATACAAAGTTTTCATTTTAGGCTTCTTAGTTAAAAGCAAATACCAAATAAGGAAAAAGAATTCCCAAAGCTTCAGTTATAAATCATATAAGATATTTTTAAATGTCCCACAACATCTGACAACTATGAATTATACTCAAATACTATTATTGCCCCAAACTATAAATTACAACAAGGGTCACTGTCAGGGTGAAAATATATTTTCTTAAAGCTATTTTGTAAAATATGCTATTATGCCTTAACATCTTTTGAATTATTCTTGGCACCTGTGGCATCTTGGAAAGTGAAAATACACTTTGCCAATTTTATGTTCTTGTGCAAGAATACGAGAAGGAGCACTGTTGGGGGTGACAGGAAGGTTTGTGTTCAATTACCAGCTTTGTCCAAAGTTATACTGCGTGAGGTTCATCAATACTTTTCTTGGCACTGGGGCCAGGATTAAAGAATGTATATTTTAGAATGCATAGCATGGGCACTAAATAACAGATCCTTTCCATGACTTTTCCGCATAGTAGCAATAGCAAAATACAGTATAATCTCACGTTTTGGTACAATTTGAAAAGCTGAAGGAAAATTGAAAATTATAAAAAAAAAGGATGTGTTTTGAAAAATCTCATTTTAAGGAAACCCTACATAAAGTTTAAATATTTCCTAAGAAAAATCAGTCTCTACTATACCCTGATTAAAACAGCAAACTCCTAAAGCATGACGAAATGACCAATGGTTAAGGACTTTTGGTTTTTTTTTTCCTTTGTGCTACTGATATAAAAATAATGACTATATTTAAGGCTCATTATGTGATTATTTGTAGTTGCCCTGAACCAAATTTGTATTCTTGATCGTGCACTATCAGTTGAAATAGATTGCCTTAAATAACAATCACAGAGAAATTCCCATGAAATTTTACATTTAAACAATCATGACCTCTTTGTCAAATTTAAGTAAAGGTACATGTGGTGCATGTGCAGTACAGTTTACATACAATCACAAACACGGGTTTTTTCCTGCTAACTAACTACTTGGTATCTGGAAGATCGAAGGTACCTGAAAAATTTAAATTGTCACAAGGCATAATCTGCTCAAGCAAGACAAATGCTTCCACACCTATTCCGGATCTTACTAACCATCTAACAAATCATCCTTGCGAATCTGATGAAAGACTCCTCCTTCGGGAACTTTTCAGTAACCAAACTTTACACCACCATTTATGTCCCTGACATGTATAATTTGTATTGTCAACCTGTATTTATTACTGATATTTTGTTTGCCTTGTACTTCCAGCTAGGATATAAGCTGACTTCTACAGTGTTCAATACAATGCTGTACATGTATGTGTGTGTGACTTAATGCATGCATATGTATACGTATGTGTGTATGTCCTGAATGAATAGTATCTGCTGGATGAATAGAAGAACCTGGTTAAGTATAAGGTAGATGAAATTCTATGATTTTTAAGAAATGCAATTTAGCTGGATCTTCCTAATAAAAAATCTGATTTCCAAAGATATCTCAGTTTAGAAATGTCAATAATAAGGACTTTGAAATAACTTTTAGAAACCTTTATCACATGTTTCAAAAGGCTTTGTAGTAAATTATTAAGAGCACCAAAGCAAAACATTTTACTGAACAGCAGGATCACCTTTCCTCTAACTTTACAAATGTAGACCTCTTTTCATTCAAGACAAAGGATACTGAACAAGAACAGGTGTTGTGAATCAGGATAAAAAAGGTGACTTGCTTGAAGTCAATATCGACTGCTCATTTTGAAATTAATCTGAAAAGCCTTCTGTATGTTAAAAGAACAGTTACAGCAGGATGTTGTAGATCATTACAGTTGTTTTGATGCTACGAAATGACAGATAATGAAGCTATTAAACAAGAAAAGCTGCTTATTATAGCTGTTGATATTAAAATAGGATATAATAAAAAATTATTTTGAATGTGTATATTTTCAGGTTTGCCTGACAGTGTCCTTTTAAGGAATCTGACAATTTATAATGAAGTTACTGACATCTGAATTTCACTTTTATGACTGTAATGAAAATATTACACTTACATAATAACAAGATATAGCAATTTTTACTGATGCACTCTGCAATTTATATTTAAAGCTTTGCAATATAACAAAACACTGTACTTTTTGTAAGCAAAATTACACAACAATGCTATAATATTAAGAATAAATAAAATTAGGCATAAAAAAGTGCAATACCATAACAATAGAACATTTTCGTTCTCATTTTAAATGTTTTGTTTATATTCTTGTACTGAGCTTTATTGTAGTTTAAACCCCAAAACCTTCATTCTTAAATAATATACTTAAAAATACCAACTTTGTAGTATAAACATATAACTATGTGTGATTTACCAGTGTCATCTAGGAAATAGACAGATGTGAAGCAAGGACAGTTGCTCTTACTGTAAAACACCTGCTTGCTTCCCCTTTCGACCAACTTTCACATCCTTTCTAGAGCAAACGATACAAGATGACAACTTTGGCAACTAATAAGCTTTTGATGAGGTTCCCTATTTGGAAGAAAAAAATATATATAAACTAAGAACTTCTATTTTTGGCTTTCTCAATTTCTCTTTTCCGTAAGATATGAGAGTGGAATAAAAGCACTTGTTGAGATGGTGAGAAGGAATCATTTTTAAACAGCACAAATGAACTCGATTTAGAGAGAGAACTTAGAGAGTGAATCAAAATAGATTATCACAGAGATCCTAGGGCGAGGTCCTAGAATTTGTCACACGAAGAGCTAAACTTGCAAGAGATCGCACGGCAAAAGTAGAGACTTTGTGACATATTCCAGCTTTTGAAATATAGTTAGAAGCCAACCGGAAAAGCCTTTCAGCACCAAAGGTATTGAAGTGCCCGGGAAGCACTTTCTCAACAAGACCTCTGTCTACTAATTCTATCAGCCTTTCACAGGTTCCAACATAGTCATTTATCCTGCTGTAGGGGAGCCAGTCAATTAGAGAGCCATCATACACAACATCTCCACTGAAGAGAATCTTCCGGTCTTTGTCATGTAAGCAAATGCTGCCCCTGGAGTGCCCGGGCATGTGCATGACAGTGAGCTGCCGGTCGCCGAGGTTGATGACATCCCCTGCCAATGAAAACAGAGATTGCAGATAAATAAGCTGTACCCTTGACTTCCACACTAGGAAGAGGACATGATGGGTTCAACGAGGTTGGGCAGGATGACACTTACTTGATGTCTGTTATCCCACAAATGCCTGTTTCTTAAGGATGAGTGAATACGGGGCCTTTATCTTTAGTGTTTGCTAGATGAATGTATGCCCAAGTGATTGTTGTAGAAAGTTATTTCCATGGGTTGCTTTGGTACATAGAAAAGGAGAATCTGCAGTCAAATAAATTTGGAAACTCCTGCATCGAAGAAAATTTTGCAGACTTCTTAAGAGGTTTTTATGCCAATGTACATTATGGATATATGCATTAGGGAGTTGTGGTTGACAATTTCAGAAACTTACTTGACCACAAAAGTTTCATTTCAGCAGTTTATGAATGATGCTTTAGTGAATAATATATTTTTCCCCATTCTGTCACCCTGTTGGAATTCAGGCTTGAGGAGACTGTGTACAATACGATGCAATACTACTATTGTTGCTCTGAGTTCCTGTACTTAGTTTCTGCTCTGTCTTGCCTCAAGCAAAAGCCCAAGCCCAGAAAGGTTCACTAGTGAGTTTCTTCCAAATCTTCAAAGACCTACTCCTGGTCCTTTTCAAGATCTTTCAGAAAGCTGAAGAAACAGGAATTCTCCCAAATAGCTCCTATGAGGCAAACATCATTCTGATACCAACACCAGACAGATTTCATGAAAAAGTCAAACTATAGACCTACATCTCTGATGAACACAGACACAAAGATCCTCAACAAATTTTAGTAAACTGAGTCCAACAATATACCAAGATCATACACCATGACCAAGTAGAATCAATCTCAGGGGTGCAATAGCTTGTATCCTAAATACTTTCTGTACATTGCCCAAAAGGTGGTAAAATAGCTTTTCTTGGAATCATTGTAGCACTGTCCTCCCATTGTTCATCGATATTTGCTCCAGCGGGACCAGTAACGTCTCCATTGTGAGACTTGTTGTTACTGAGTTTGGCAAACCTAATACGCCACGGGTAGCTTGCCAGGCACTGCCGTGCGGGGGAGATACTCTTGGTAGCTTGCTGGGCTCTCTGAGAGGGGCGGAGGAATCGAACCCAGGTTGGTCGGGTCGGCCGCGTGCAAGGCAAACGCCCTACTGCTAGGCTATCACTCCAGCCCTTAGAACCATTACTAAAAAATAATTAAAACTGGCTCTCCTGCTAAAAATGTGGTTTGTATGTTGTGGCACACAGGATAAAGTTACTTAAAATGTATAGCGTGACCACTGGTAGTGGATTAGAAACTCACAATTGAACAGCAGAGTAAGGGGAAAAGGGAATGAAGATGGGACCAGCGCTACACCAGGATGTGGAGGGTGCTGGTGGACTTCAGTGGTGGTGTGCAGAATCTTCATACGTCAGTTTCATAACATTTAATACTACTGTGGCCACATTATATAAACTAGAACATTTTCAATAAAAACTAATTTCAATAGCACTTAGAAATAAAATAGTGTTTATGTTAAAGCAAATATTAACTCAGTACTGTGGTATATTTGGTGTAAGTATACAAATATACATATATACATATAAAAAATACATATAAAACCAGTTTTGTATACTTACACACAAATATACATATATAGAAACACTTCTACATTTCCTTCATTAATAGATATTATATAGTACACATGTAATATATAAACTATATATGTATATGTCTACACACATAATGCTTATTTTCAGGTAATAGTTCTTATTTTATATAAGAATATATCACATAATACAATATATACCATATATCACCTATGGGTCATATATATCATACAATGTATCATATAATACACATGTAATATATAAACTATATATGTATATATATAGGTATTGTGTGTATACATATACTACATATGTATATGTATACACACAATACCTATTCCTCTCATTTTCACTTCAATAGTTCTTAGTATCCCTCAATCATGAAACCCCAAGTTTCACTCTTCCCAGAGAACTAATAGTCTAGCCCATCAAAGTACCTAAAGCAGCACACATGTGTTTGGTTTTAACATACTTGCTTGTATTCTCTTCTATATATTTTCTGTTCCTCGGAGAGCCCGGCGAGCTACTGAGAGTATCCTGCCCACACGGCAGAGCTTGACAAGCTCCCTGTGGCATATTTGATATGCCAAAAGCAGTAAACAATAACGGGTCTCATTCCCCTGACACAGAAAGAGCCTCCAATATGGTAGCATTGGGAAAGACAAGTAAGGAGAGGCTGCTAAAATCTCAGGGCTGGGACGAATGGAGACGTTACTGGCCCCCGTTCGAGCAAATCGATGAACAATGGAATAACAGTGATACAGTAATACAGTGAGAGAGGTGTTCCCTTAGAGAATAGGATTTTAGAGTCTTAACAGTTTCTTAAATGGCTTTCAACCAATTTTTTATTACGGTATAAAGGGTACTGCAATACTCTTTACCCTCACTTAAAAAAAAAGTTACTGCTACTTCCTGAGCCTTTTAACGTGCCTGCAATGCAAACTGCATGGTTTTTGATTCATACTGCTGGTATTGGACCAACTTGCTAAGTAACCACTCTTACACGGTACAATATCTCAACCAAAATTCATACTTAAACAGACTAATTCTATTACAATAGTTTTATTAGGGCTGTGGGTTCAATCTTCTACATTTTTGTAATCTATTCCTGTTTTTATCTTCCTCCAAAGTTGTTCATCTGAAATAACTGCTCTAATAATATCTTGGTAATTCTATAAAAGTCATTTCAAAGTGTCTAAGAAGCCAGAATATCTGTCTCGAATATCACTTAAATAGTTGGAAAAATAGGCATTATAAATATTTCATTCGAGAACAATATACTGCAGCAATCTAAAATACATTATATTGTTCTTTTTTTTTCTTTTTGGGTCACACTCAGTGATGCACAGGGGTTACCAGGGGTTACTCCTGGCTTTGCACTCAGGAATTACTCCTGGCGGTGCTGGGGGTGGGGGAGCATTTGGGATGCTGGGAATCAAACCCAGGTCGGCTGTGTGCAAGGCAAACACCCAACCTGCTCTGCTATCACTCCAGCCCTATATTGTTCTTCTTTAAAGAGAACACAGTATTAGTTGAGTAGGTTGGTTTTCTATAAAAATGAACACAACAGGTTTTGGGGATTTGGGTTTTGATTTTTGAGCCATACCTGATGGTGCTCAGGGCTTACTCCTGGTTCTGAGTTCAGGGACCACTACTGGTGAGCTCAGGGAACATCTGGATTGCCAGGGATCCATCCCATGCTGGCCGTGTGAAAGGCAAGTCTTCTACCCCCTGTACGATCTTTCTAGCCCAAAGCTAAACAAAAATGAAGGATGCTCTTTCTAGGTTCTATTTATCCCTCTTTAGAAGTCAACTTTTGGTTTAGTGATAGAGTGCATGGATTTATGCTGTGGCTTGACAAGTGATCATTAATTCACTAAATGAAATGTGGAAAATGAATGACTTCAGCCTCCTTGTGAAATGGATACTTGATACTGTTTCCAATAGATGTTGCTCATGTGTGTACTGTGTAAGAGTTTTAATATATTTTTTGTTTTTACCAAGGCATTGCTCGAGCGGGCCCAGTAACGTCTCCATTGGAGACTTTGTTGTTACTGTGTCTGGGAGCGATAGCACAGCGGGTAGGGCGTTCGCCTTACAAGCGGCCAACATGGCTGACCCGAGTTCGATTCCTCCGCCCCTCTTGGAGAGCCCGGCAAGCTACCGAGAGTATTCGATATGCCAGACACAGTAACAACAAAGTCTCCAATGGAGACGTTACTGGGCCCGCTCGAGCAAATCGAAGATCAACGGGAGGGCCTTTACCTTTACCTTTACCAAGGCATTAAAATTACAATGCCAAGTTTGCAGACCATACCATTTAGAAGACAGGAAATTAATATTCCCCAGAAGAGAGGGGATCAGATACTAAGCATTCAGGTTCTAATAAAAAACAACTTTTGACCTAACACAGTATTAACACGCTCAAAATGTTTGGTAAGTATTCAGCTTTCTTTTCACACCTTCAAAAACTTAAAGGCACCACACAGTTTCTTTCAAGCTCTTGGCAGCTCCAAAATGCTAGAAATCTACTATCAAATGGGACTTAGGAAACCTGATTCCTAGTCCTAGCTGTCCTTAAAACTGGCTATGTGTCCTCAGACTATGATCTGCAGACCTGCTTGAAATCCACACCTATACAATAATAAATCCTATCATTCTCTCACCACCACTATCTGTTGCTGGTGCAGGAGGGAAAGTAGTTATTTACATAATTGAAATATGTTTTAAACATTAATGCAAAGGTGTTTTTGTATGTGTGCCAGAATTTAATCTCCATACCTACTGGCTACAAGGAAATCCTAATTCTTACAAAATATTAATCAAGAAATAAATTTAAATTGTGTACTTTTCTTCTAAATGGTCAAATGATGTAAACCCCCACCCCCATGTAAGTCTTTTTTTTTAATCTTTAGGTTTAAAACTTTAATGACTTCCGGTGTGAGATGTGACATACATAATATCACAATTTGTCTTTGTATCTGAAATGATTACTATCTACAGAACTTGTGGAATAAACAGATTTTTTCTGAAATGTTTTGTCGTATTGGTCAGTAATAATTATATCTGACGAGAATTTTCCACCCAAGAGAACGCTCTCATAGTCATTAAAATGGCTTCAAGACGGAGAGAAGTGCAGTTGGAGTCTCCACATCTACTAGGTATTATTTATTTATGGTTATGTTTTGGTTCACTGTGCCTTGATTTCAATCCTAGCTTTTGTGTTACCTTGCTGAATATTCCAGAAAAAAATCATTTCATTGGGGTCGGGTAACCTCATTTCTACTGTGCAGTGAGGATAAAATGAAATCTACAGAATATTCTAATAAAGGAAACACGCAAACATTGCTGATGTGGCTAATTGGTTCAGTGAAATAAAAGCGCTGGCATGGGGCTGGGAAAGGACCATTTTTATTTCATTTCCTTAGTTTCTCTCTGCAACTGCACCCTACCAAGAAGAGGGCAAGGGAGGCCCCAAGGCTGCTTGTACGTCAGTCCACGCACTTCACTGTCACCAGAGAGAAGCTCCTGATTAATATCTTTCACATAGGCCAGACCAGTAAATCTGACACCCTGTAAGACTGAACCAGCTTCTACATTTTATTATTCACCCGGAGGTTTTTCCCCCGGTGAGGCAACATCCACACTAGCATCTCAATGGGAAGGCAGGGATGCCAGAGCTGATTGAAGCCACCGCTCTCAACGGGCTTTCTAAACCTACAGGTGGGGAACTGCTCAGGGCCGGGGGTCGCCACGGCTGGACTGATGAAGTCGGCAGTCCTCGAAAGCACCGACCATGACTTGCACTTTTTTTTAACTGCAAAGGCGGCTGGAACTGTGTCAGACTGCAGCTAGCAAGTCTGCAGTGCTGCTACTACGGGCTCCGCCGCTGGAAACTGACTTGGGGGTGGGGCCGGCGGGCGGTCCCCGGCGCCGCGCCGACCCGACCCGCTCGGTCCGGGTCCCAGGACCGGGCTCCGCTCGGGTGGGCTCCCACTCAAGCAAGGGAAGGGCGAGCGGGCGCGTCTGCCACATGCACCCCGCGGCCGGCGGCGCCCCCATCCCCTCCCGGAACGCGGAGAAGCGAGCGCCCGCCAGGGCCCATTACCATCCTGCAGGATGAGGGTGGGCTGCACCGCCTGCACTCGGAACTGCCTGGCCCTCCAGCCCGGGCTGGGCGCCCGCACCACCTCCCTGTCGGACAGCCAGGTCACGGTCTCAAAGTTGTCCCCGCGAGCCAGCGCCTCGGCCTCGGCGTGGTGCACGGCCACGCGGTCGAACTGGTAGAGGCCCCCGGCGTGGTCGAAGTGCACGTGGGTGGCCACGGCCAGCAGCGGCCGGCGCGCCGCGTCCTCCTGGGCCTCGCGGTCCTGCTGCAGGAGGCCCGCGGAGTGCAGGTACTCGGGGAGGCTGCGCAAGCCCAGCCCCGTGTCGATCACCACGTCCTGCTCGGAGCCGCGCACCAGCCAGATGTTGGCGCGGTTGCCCGACTCGTAGAAGCGTTCCTGGATCCAGAAGATGCCGTCGCCCAGGGACTTGTGCGCGTACCACTCGAGCGCAGACATGCTGCAGCGCCGTCTGCTCCGCGGCTCCCCCGGAACCGCCCGGCCGCGGGGGCGCGGGGGGCTGCACGCGCCGGGGGACGGGGGCGGCGCTCGCCGGGCAGCCCCGCGCCGGGTCCCGCAGAGGCTGCGCAGCACCGCCCGGGAGCGCGAAGGCAGCGGCCGCCCGGGAGCGCAAGACGGCGCAGAGGGCAACTCGGCTCCAAGTCGGCTGCGCCGCTGCAGCGGAGCCCCGCGACGCCAGGGACGCGCCAGGCCCGCCCACCCGCCGCGCGCCCCTCGCGCGCGCCCCTTGCGCGCTCCCAACCGGCGCCTAAAGGGTCGGGCGCAGGCGGTGGGCGGCCGACGACGGCGCCCGCCGAGGGCTAAAAAGCCTCGGCCCGGGGGGCGTGGCCGGCCGAGGAGTGGGCGGGGCCGGCCGGCGGGATTCGCAGCCGGGCTCCCCGACCGCGTGGAGGAGGGCGGAGCGCGCTGCATCCGAGTGCGGGCTCGTCCGGCTGGCACCCCTTCCTGGCCGACCGACTTCTCGGCTGCACAGCTACCCGAGCCTCGAGGCTTAGAGAGCAGGTAACAGAGGAAGCCGTCGAAGGGGCGGAGGGGCTGGGAAGGGGAGAAGGGCACGTGGAGAAAGAGGGGTGAAGCAGATGGAAATTCCCCTGCAGGAGCCTCTCGGTTGGGCTCGGGGGAGATAGCTGTGCCTCCACTTCTGAGCCCTCCAGATTTAGCTTTGAGAAGCTGCTTTTCCAGATCTGACTGGGTCCGCACTTCCTGCGACTGTTTGCAGCGAGTTAGATTTGGAAATCGGTCGTGGTGGGAATGGTAACGTCAGGCAGCGTCATTGCCGCAGGTTTGCTGCTAAGCACTGACTCTTCAGCACACTCTCAAGTGTTGGCATTTTACCCTCCATCATCGGGAGGGAGTTTAAAAATAGTTTTTTTTCTTCGCTTGAATATTGTTTTCCCTCTGTCTCTCCGGGCAGAGAGAGATCTATCTATCTATCTATGTACTCTTGGAAAAGCAAAGAAAGTTGCTTGCAGTGTTCAGGAAAGGTGGAACTAGCTATACCTTGTGAAGTTAGAAGTAGGTAAGTAGTGACTGGGTGTGGCCCCACCAGTACAGCCCCATAAATCACCCCCATTATTAGCACCAGGTTCCTGTCCCCACCCTGCGCCTCCCAGCTGTTGAAACATCCATTTCGTTCCCTTGAGAACTTGACTAACCTCCCTATTCAGCCAGGGAAAAACTATAAAGAGACCCATGAGACAGCATTATAAAAGGTAATTGGGGGGCTGGAGTGATAGCACAGCGGGTAGGGCGTTTGCCTTGCACACGGCCGACCAAGGTTCGATTCCCAGCATCCCCATATGGTCCCCTGAGCACCTTTAAGGGTAATTCCTGAGCGGAGAGCCAGGAGTAACTCCTGAGCATCACTGGGTGTGACCCAAACAGAAAAAAAAGGTAATTGGGAAAACCCCATTGTGGTAGCTATGAATAAACCTCCATCCAAGGTTCTACATCTTCTGTGGGGTTGCTGCTTTTTGAAAATTTTACCGTCTTGTTAGGAATCATTTGCTCACTCTGTTGAATGCTGTTCCTCTTGTGCAAGTCCTTGAGCTAGGTGATCTGAAAAATTAGGTTTAAGGGGGAGAAAAGGCATAACCTGCATTCTCAAGGATCTTAGGGATGATATTATCTGTCCATGAATATTTATACTCAAAAGCAAAAAAGTAAATGCTCCAAGAAAACAGAAAGGGTTACATTTTAGCTGGTGCAGGGAGACCTCTGTCATTTCTTCTTCTTTTGAGTTTGGGCCACACCTTGTGGTTACTCCTGGCTCTGATCTTCTAGTGGTGCATTTGGGGTGCTGGGGAGTGAACCCAGGTTGCCAGCATGCAAGGCTGTGTTGTCTTTTCAGCCTTCCCCTCTGTTGTTCCTAAGCAGGGAAATACACAGCTCTCTGTAGTTGGGGTGTTTTGCCTAGGTGCAGGGAGCACTGGAATTGATCCGGAGTGGGAGCACTGCTAGGCCATGAGTTCAGCCGTCATTCACCCAGTTTTTATTCGATGCTTGCCTGACTCTGGTTGGTGACAGGGCTAAAAGGTGGCTACATCTCTAATCATCACAGTTACCCTCTACATGTATCACGCTCCTCCTCCGGATATCTTTCCTATTTCCTCACATGCTCTTTCTCTCACTTTTGTTAGGTGATCAAATATTACAGAATATGGAAGGTCTTCTTCACCCACCTATCCACGTTTCCTGCTTTTTCTTCAGAGCACTGATCACTCGCTGACATTTCTAGGTATTGCTCAGTATAGGAAAACTGACTCATGATCACCAAACTAAGAAGAGGTGCTGAAAGGCCAGGATGCCATGTGAATGAGAAAGGGGTCTGTAAAGAGCTAGCACTGAGTTTGCTACCTGGGGCAGTACTAGTAAAGTAAAAGCAAAGTCCCTCCCGTTGATCATCGATTTGCTCGAGCGGGCCCAGTAACGTCTCCATTGGAGACTTTGTTGTTACTGTGTCTGGCATATCGAATTCGTCACGGGGCAGTACTAATGACTTTAATTTATACACCCCAAGGTTCCTTGAGAAATGTAGTCAGCACTTTAGAGCCAATTTTATACTTTCAAGGGATATTCTGTCAAGCAGTGTGAGAGCTGATGTACTCTTTTTTTTTTTTTTAAGGTTACCTCTCTAAACTGCTTTCAGGCCCCACCAAGAAGCTTGTGGTACCATAAGTATGAGGATTTGAGGATCTTTTTGTTTGTTTGTGTGGGCCACACCCAGCTATGTTCAGTGCTTACTCCTGCCTCTGGGCTCAGGGATCACTTCTGGTGGGCTCAGGGGACCATATGTGGTGCCAGGGATTGAACCCTGGATGGCTGTGTGCAAGACAGGCAAGCTCCCTCCCTGCTGTGCTGTCACTCCAGCCCCTGCCTTGCATGTATTGATCCATGTTTGAAGCCTGGCACAGCTTATGGTCCCTGAGTGATCTCTGAGCGTAGGTAGAGTCAGGAGTAAGCCCTGAGCACTGTCAGGTGTGTCCCCACCCCCCAAATCCAATGAAGCACAGAAAGAGGAGCCAGGGGCTTTGAGTTAGGAGTAGAGCCCGGGCCCTGTATGGTCATGAGGGCCCAGGGTTCCAGGGCCCAGATAGCTGTATGCTAGAGCAGATACCTAGTGAGTGTGCAAAAGCCCGAGTTGTTTGTCCCCCTGGAACCCTATGGCTCCCCTGGTGCCTCTGCTGGTGAGCCAGGCCAGGCACTTCGAGAAGGCCCTCCCCTGGCCCACTGCCTGGGGTGTCCTCTATCAGAAACCAAAGATTAAAAAGTCAAGGACTAGGTCTTCGAACTGTTTTCAGGCATTGAAGTTGTGTGATCAGAATTGAAAATTTAAAGTATGAGTGATGCTAGTCTTTACATTTAATGAAAAAGCATCAGCCTGCCTTGTCTCTGTTTCAACTATCTATGTGTCTCTGAGATCCTCCTGACAAACCGCAGAAGAATGGAGAACCATGTCAGTGGCGGAGCCTTCCCCAGGGCTTTATCTCAGAGAGATCCTCTTGGCAGCCTGAAGCCTCTTTGACATCACCTCACCTGCCAAACCAGACTAGATGGAGGCAGTTAGGAATCAGTTATCAGAAATCAACCCAAGTTTTGCTTTCCAGAAGCATTTGAAATTGGCCACTCCTTCTGAAGGACTAGTGTGCTTTGAAATGGTAGGTTCATTTTTAATTTTTGTTTCTTTTTTCTTTTCAGGATTTGCTCACATTTTTCCCCATATAATTGGTACTGATGGCTGGAAATAGAGGAAGAGGACGTGCTGCTTATACCTTTAACATCGAGGCAGTTGGATTTAGCAGAGGTGAAAAGTTACCTGATGTCGTATTGAAACCACCACCGCTGTTTCCTGTAAGTACTTGGCAGCTGACTTCTCATCATTTTTGTTCAGAGAATCTGTTTAAAATACAAAAGCCAAACTGTACATTCTTGTATGTGAATATGCTCAGTTCAGTATTATTAAAGTAAAGAAAGATTTCTTTTTCATTTCTTGTACCTCCTATTGCTATTATTAGTATAATATTGGGGCTGGAGCGATAGCACAGCGGTAGGGCGTTTGCCTTGCACGCAGCCAACATGGCCCACCGAGTTCGATTCCTCCGCCCCTCTCGGAGAGCCCGGCAAGCTACCGAGAAGATCTCGCCCGCACGGCAGAGCCTGGCAAGCTCCCCGTGACAGATTCAATATGCCAAACACAGTAACAACAACAACAGCAAAAATCTCCAAAGGAGACGTTACTGGGCCCGCTCGAGCAAATCGATGAACAACGGGAGGACAGTGAGAGTGACAGAATGTGCCAGAGATTTATTACACTCCTTTGAGCTATTTCCCCAGCCCCTTGAACCTGGTGGTGCTCGGGGTTAACTCCTGGCTCTGTGCTCGGGGGTTGCACCTGATGGTGCTCAGGGGACCATGTATGATGCTGGAGATCAAACCGGGGGTGCCTAAGCTTCTGTACTATTTCTCTGGCCCCCATAATTTTTCTGCAAATGTTTTTAACAGCCTAAAGGCTGTGATGGTGACTTTGTGATATCTCTCAGATCTTTTCCTTCTCTGTCCTCTTTGGCCTCCTGGTTCCCTTAGGCCATTTCCCCCGCAGGTTTCCCTAATTGGAGCCAACTGTTCCCCTAGTCTCTGCATGGGTGGATTTCTAATTTTGTCCAGCTCTCTGATCAGGTGTCACTTCCCTGAGTGATCATGGGAACATACAGATCAACACCTCTATTGTGTGTGTGTGTGTGTGTGTGTGTGTTTAATGTTTTTTTTTTTAATTTTATTTTTATTAGTGAAACACCATGAGGCACAGTTGAAGACTTAACAAATTTTTGTGCTTGGGCTTCAGTTATACAATGATCAAGTACCCATCCCTCCATCAGTGCCCATTCTCCATCACCACTCATCCCAGTATCCCTCCCACCCCCCATCCCCCATCCCACCCTGCCTCTGTGGCAGGGCATTCCCTTTTGTTCTCTCTCTCCTTTTGGGGGCTGTGGTTTGCAAAAGAGGAACTGAGTGGCAATCATGTTCGGTCTACAGTCTACTTTCAACCTGCATCTTCCATTCTGGGCAGATCTTCCCAACACCCTTTATTTGGTGCTCCCTTCTCTATCTGAGCTGCCTTTACCCCTAGCATGGGTGGCTGGCCTCCAAGCCATGGAGTAAACCTCCTGGTACTTATCTCGGCTATTCTTGGGTATTAAGTCTCCTATTTTGTTACTTTATGTTCCCCAGATGAATGCAATCTTTCTATATCTGTTCCGCTCTTTCTGACTCATTTCATCAGCACCTCTATCTTCTATGTATATTTCTCATCAGACTTCTCTCTGCTTCATGTTTTACGTGTCATTTTGCATTATCTGAAATGATATGTTATCTCATTTGTATACTGATTTGTTTTCCATTTTCCCCATAGAATGTAAGTGTCATGCAAGCAGGAACTTTAAGTCTTTATGTTGTCTCCTTTTGCCTATCAATGTCTGGTCTTTAGTGGACATTCAAGAAATAAAGAATGAATGAATAAGTTCAGAATGATATTCTGAAAATGTATCCTAATTATCTTTGAATCTGGAAATGTTTTTACTAGGCATTCTGCAGCTTGTGACTCTCTTCTGAGATTTATTTTTAAGTGCCATTTACTTTTTATATGGCCTACAGATTGTTTGTGCTTCAATTTTTTCACTACAATAGGGGAAATATTGGAATTTCTTTCAATTAGATCATGGATGTTGAATACTGAGTGCATCCTAATCGTGTTAACCACTTGCTTAATGATCACAAGATCAACAAGCATCCTGTTGTTCGTCGATTTCCTCAAGCAGGCACCAGTAACGTCTCCTTCTTCCTAGCCCTGAGATTTTAAAAGAGCCATTTCAATGCTCTTTCAGGATTAGGAGAATGAAACCCATCATTGTTACTGGTATTTGGCATATTGAGTATGACATGGTAAGTTTGCCAGACTCTGCCATGCGGGCGGGATACTTTTGGTAGCCTGCCAGGTTCTCCAAAGGAAAAAATAAGATAATAAGATGTCTTGCGGCCGCAAATGCGGCCACGTGCTTCCGGGAGCTGGATTTTATAGTCTCTGCGTCTTGGCCGTTAATGAGACCAACCTGGCGCTGGCAGCAGCTGGTGGGTATGATGCCTACCTACTGGAAGATGGGGAGTCTAGCTGGAGAAGCCCAGTCCCAATCCGAGTAGTCTTGGAGACCTCAGCCCCGGGACCCGCATGCCTGGGTTCCTCTGCCAGTTCTTTCATGCATGAGGCCCGTCCGGACGTGTGGAGAGTGGTCCCAGCATGGCCATGGCTGGTCCCGGAGGTCCTCAGCTGCTGGGGCTCTGCTCGGGGTGGAGGGGGGAAAGAAACTCAACCCTCCCCCCTCCAAGGGGCCCTGGTGAGGACAGCCAGGCCCGGGGGCAGGAAACTCTGCCTTGCTTAATGATAGCTGCCACAATTTTGGAGGGGAACTGGGTTTGTCTTCCAAGTTGTGCTTTTATGTTTACTACTACCAATGTTGTCATCCATTAACTGAAGTTAATGGGAGACTAAAACAATCTCCCATTAAAGTCAGTAGACTCTCACTGTTCTTATTTTTTTTTCCATGTTTGTTGTTGGGTCACACCCATAGGTGCTTAGGGCTCACTCTTGGCACTGCACTTAGAGATTACTTTTGGTAGTGGTCAGGGGACCATATGGCATCCCAGGGATCAAACCCACATTGGCTGTGTGCAAGGCTAGAGTCCTACCTACTGTACTGTCTCCAGCCCCAGTTGTTTTCACTTTGATGTCCTGATTTTTAAAATACAAATCATAGTCAACAGCATTATAATCATTAATGTGGTACGGAGGAAAATTAGGGCCAGTAGGAAAGTTAAGTATACTTTATACCTCTAAGATGATTCAAATTAGGAGATAAAGCTTAAAGAGATAATAGAAACTTAGCATGTATCTCTTAAGTTGATTCTAAAGCTTCCTATAAAACGTAATTTTTCATTGGTCTATAGAACTGAGCTATGTGGGGGGTGGGAGAGGAAATGGGAGGAGTCCTTGGCACATTGGAGAAAAGCAGGTGCTCTTTGGAGGATGTAACGTTAGTAGATTTTCGCACTCAGCTCTCATCAGTCATATTATAAATCACAGTACCTCAACAAAAATGGAAGAAATAAAAGATAATGTAGCGTTTCCTCTCTTTTCCCTTTTTTGCTACATATGGCGGTACTCAGCTTATTCCTGGTTCAGTACTCAGCGATAACTCCGGGTGGGCACAGGAGTGATGGGTCCATATTGCTACGAGTTGAACCTGGGTCAGCTGCATGCACATTAAGTGCGCTGTCCACTGTACTATCGCTCCGGCTCCTAGTCTTTCAACCAAATTTCTAGAATATAGACAAGAGAGATATTAAAATGTTAGTATCTTATAATAAAAGCATTGTTTCTCATAAAAAACCAGGATACAGATTATAAACCGGTGCCACTGAAAACTGGAGAAGGTGAAGATTATATGCTAGCCTTGAAACAGGAGTTGAGAGAAACAATGAAAAGAATGCCGTATTTTGTAGAAACTCCTGAAGAAAAACAAGGTGGGTAGTAGACTCTGATTATGTGACTCGATGTATACATATTCAATGTATGTATTATTGTACACTTACACAAGTGAAACTTGTAGCACAGAATATATGATTTTTTAATACTGAATGATTTACTATAATCATAAATTGTCAACTCACTGAAAAATGCATATTCATGTTGATTCAAGAGAAATTACTTTAAATTTTGGATGTCTTGGTTTTTAAATTTTTATATTTTATGGTAGCACAGGGCGTTTGCCTTGCACGCAGCCAACATGGCCAACCCGAGTTCGATTCCTCCGCCCCTCTCAGAGTGCCCGGCAAGCTACCGAGAGTATCTCGCCCACATGGCAGAGCCTGGCAAGCCACCCGTGATGTATTTGATATGCCAAACACAGTAACAACAAAATCTCCAATGGAGACATTACTGGGCCTGTTCAAGCAAATTGATGAACAACGGGAGGACCGTGAACCTTTATCAGATGAGTGGTGGCAAATATTTTCTCCCAGGCTGTGGAGTATCTTTTTATTCTGGTTATAATTGCTTTTGCAATGCTTAAGTTTCTTAGTTGATGTAGTCCCATTTGTTTTATCTTCGCTTCCATTTACTTGGCATTAAATGGCATTGAACCTTGAAGATCCCTACGTCTAGCTTCAGTTTCATGGAGTGCTTTATATTTTCCTTGATAGAATTTATGGATTCAGGTCTGATATGAGGTCTTTAAGCTGTTTTGATTGGACTTTTGTGCATCATGTTAGGGGTCTGAATTAAGGTTTTTTTGCATGTAACTGACCAGTTTTCCCAGCATCATTCGTAGTAGTCTTTCCTTGCTTCACTTCCTGCTCTGGTGTTGAAGATTAACTGTCCTTATACCTGAGGATCTGTCTCTGTACTCTCAATTCTATTCCATTGGTCTGAGAATTTTTCCTTATCCCAGTACTACACTGTTTTGATTACTATCACTTTGAAGCTGGGCAAAGAGACGCCCTCCAGCCTTTTTTTCTAGGATTGCTTTGGCTATTCATGGGGATCTTAGTACTTACTCTATGTAAATTTCAACAACATTTTATCTGTGTATTTTTAAAAATTCATTTTTATAGGAACTGCACTGAATCTGTATAATGCTTTGCAAGACTGTCATTTTGACAGAGTTGATTCTTCTAGTCTCTGAAGAGGGCATGTGTTTCTGTTTCCCCACATCCTCTTTTACTTCTTTTAGTAGCGATTTGTTCTTTTCTTCTTTTAAGTCTTTCGTGTCTTTTGTTAAGCTGATTTGCTGAGTCACAAATGTGAATGGGGTTGTTTTATTAGGGGTTTCTCTCCTATTTTATTATTTGCACACAGCACAGAAAAGCCATGGATTCTGCATATTGTTTTTGTAGCTTGTTACTTTCTTGGACAAGTCTATTGTTTTTAGGAACTTCTTTGTCGAGTCTTTAGGGTTTTCTAAATATAATTATATATTACCCACGGGCTGGAGCGATAGCACAGCAGTAGGGCGTTTGCCTTGCACGCAGCCAACATGGCCAACCCAAGTTCGATTCCTCCGCCCCTCTCGGAGAGCCCGGCAAGCTACCGAGATACTGGCAGAGCCTGGCAAGCTCCCCGTGACGTATTTGATATGCCAGACACAGTAACAACAAAGTCTCCAATGGAGACGTTACTGGGCCCGCTCGAGCAAATCGATGATCAACGGGAGGGCCTTTACTTTACTTTACTTTACAAATATTGAGCATTTGACTTCTTTTATAATTCGGATGCCCTAATATTTCTTTCTTGCCTGATTATGATGGCAAGCACTTTCAGTACTGTACTGAACAGTAGTGGTGTGAGCGAGAGACGTTGTCTTATATCTGATCTCGGAAATTCCTCTGCTCTTATATCTTCCTGGTTTACTCAAAAGCGTATCACTAGCATTTTGTCAGATACACTTAGTATTCTTGGATAAGACTACAATTATTATTTTGAATTGGCGGCTTCCAAAAACCATGCTTAGCAGGTCTGAGGACCACTGCTAGGGAAACTCTGTCAACCTGACCAGATCAGTATTAGGCTCTAAGGATTCAGTTCTGTTCATGCCCTGTGGGGTTCACCAAGGTTACACCCAGAGGCACAAGAAGTAGGGAACTGCTCATAAGTATGCTGCTGTGATTGCTGTTGATATACATAAATATTTATGCAGTTTTCTACTTTGCTTAATTTTAAAAGACTTGGCTATATTATTACTTGCCATTTATGTTTCTGACATAATGTAAAATATGAAGTATGTATTCATTGATGGTGCCAAGGGCAGAGAGGAGAAATCACTGCTGGAGGAGACTGACAATGTCAGACTGAAAGTAGGAAGTGGTTTTAGAGGAGAGAGAACCCATTGTTGAGTAGGTATTGAGCATAGTAGAACTGTATTGATTTTCATTTTCTGCCCTTGACTGTTGAAATTAGAGAAATCAATATCATCCTTGAGTTTTGAAAACAGCATCATTAAAACATGAGAAATTCATATAGTGTCATTTTATCCCATTAGTATTAAAAATGCATTCCATTTTCCTTTCTCTAAAAGACAGAATTGGCAAGGAGTCAAAGGAAGTCTTAATAGTAATATTTCATGGACTTACAAGAAACATTGTAGACAAGCTCATTTAATTTTTTTTAAAAAAATATTTGGGCTGGGCTGGAGAGATGGCACAGTGGGTAGGGCGTTTGCCTTGCACGCGGCTGGCGGCTGACCCGGGTTCGATTCCCAGCATTCCATATGGTCCCCCGAGCACCGCCAAGAGCAATTCCTGAGTTCATGAGCCAGGAGTAACCCCTGTGCATTGCTGGGTGTGACCCAAAAAGCCAAAAAATAATAATAATAATAAAATAAATAAATAAATATTTGGGCCACATCCAGTATCACTCAGGGTTTATTCCTGGTTCAACACACTGGGATCATTCCTGACAGGGATCAACTTGGGGTGCGGGGCATTAAACTTATGTTTAAAAAAACATAAATTAGGGGCTGGAGCAATAGCACAGCGGGTAGGGCGTTTGCCTTACACACAGCCAACATGGCCGATCCAGGTTCGATTCCCAGCATCCCATATGGTCCCCCAAGCACTGCCAGGAGTAATTCCTGAGTGCATGAGCCAGGATTAACCCCTGAGCATCGCTGGGTGTGACCCAAAAAGCAAAAAAAAAAAGAAAAAACAACATAAGTTATATAATGGTTTGATAGATATTTTTACCTGAAAAAATACTGAATTTTTCTTTTATGATTATAGTTTATATGTTTTATCTGAGTACAAATATGAAATCAAAGTTCTCATTTAAAGATTTTAAAAAGTAATATTAGATTAGCTTATATTAGTAGGAAAATAGTTTCAGGCATATTTTAATCTTTTTTAAATTAGTGTTTAAAAAAGTGTTTAAATTAGTGTTTACCTCAAGACTGGGGTACAGAGGCTGGAGCAATAGTCCAGCAGGTAGAGGGCATTTGCCTTGCACGCGGCCGACCCAGGTTCGATTCCCATAATCCCATATTGTCCCCCGAGCACTGCCAGGAGTAATTCCTGAGTGCAAAAGCCAGGAGTAACCCTTGTGCATGGCTGGGTGTGCCCCAAAAAAGAAAAAAAAAAGACTATAGTACATTCACTTCACTAACTGTGGTTGGTATTGAAGTGCAAGTCTAATTTAAAAGTCTATTATATTACTGAGCAGTTATGTGAGTGTCATAGACACATTTCTGGGAGTAATACCTGGATAAAGTTAGTTATCTTTTATTCCTGATTATAATTTTCCAAGTATATTCTTGAAATCATTGTGTTTACTTTTCCTTATGCACTGTTTTTAAAAAAGCTGTGCTTGAAAATAGTTTTTAAAAATATATACATATGTACACAAAGTTTTTTAAATAACATTACTTAACTGTGGTATATGATTAATATTTACATTTATATATGCATATAAATATGTAAAAGTATTTAAATATGTGTATACATATATGGTCATATTAAATATTTATTGTGCACCTCATTTTTTTTTTATTGAATCACCGTGAGATACAGCTACAAAGCTTTCATGTTTGAGTCTCAATCATACAATGATCAAATACCCATCTCTCCACCAGGGTAATTCTCTACCACCGATGTCCCCAGTATACCCGCCCTTTCCAGTCCTCCCCCTGTCTTCATAGCAGACAATTTCCTCCATACTCTCTCTCTACCTTTGGTTATTATGATTTTCAATACAGATACTGAGAGGTTATCACGTTTGGTCCTTTACACACATCTCCCATCCCGACCGATTCCTCCAACCATCACTGTCTTAGTGATCCCTTCTCTGTTCCAGCTGCTTTCTCCCCAGCTCATGAGACAGGCTTCCAACTATGGAGCAGTCTTTCTGACCTTTGTGTCCACTGTCTTTGGGTGTCAGTCACACACATACGTATTTTAAAAACTGGCCAGGCCTGAACAAAAGTATGCAGTTCTCAGAATCATATTCTAGAGTGTATGCATATACCTACCTTAATCTTCTCTCTCACCCTATAGAAGAAGAAGTGTTATGAACTAATATAAAGAAGCAAATCATGGGGCTCCAGAATGGTATAGGGTTAAGATGTTTGTTTTACCAGCAGCTGACCCACAGGTCTATGGCACCACGGTCTATGCGATGCCCCAAGGGTCACTCCTTGAGCACTGCTTAGTGTAGCCCAAACTGCATTACTTTCCTTCTCCCCAAAACAAAGTGTATCACCAAAAGAAGCACAAACATGGGGCTTGGATGTATGTAGCTCACAACTTGTCTTAAATATTTGAGGCATTGGGTTTAATTCTGTGTCTCCAGCAACACAGCATACATGCAGACACGTACACACTAGACAAAGGTAAACAGTTAGGGTAGGAGATCCAAAGATTTTCTTAGTAATTAAGTGAGTAGTGGCGTTGAGATTTGTCACAAAGTTCTGAGGCCACAGAATAACGTATTTTAGTTGTGATATCTTTAATGTTTGTTTATAATATTGTCAGGCAGA